CATTTGAACAAACTTTGTAGCCCTTCATCTCAGCTTGCTACTGGCCAAATATCATCACCCAGGGCATTTTGGTTATTGAGAAGAAGTTGTTTAAAGGTTTTTAATACAATTGACCCCTGTGACCTTGAATATAATTGAAGGTCATTCATTTGAAAAAATTTGGTAGCCCTTCACCCAAGCATGCTACTGGCCAAATATCAACTCCCTGGGCATTTTGGTTATTGAGAAGAAGATGTTTAAAGTTTTTGACATATTTGACCCCTGTGACCTTGAAAATAGGTGAATGTCATTAATTTTAACAAACTTTGTAGCCCTTCATCCAAGTTTGCTTCTGGCCAAATATCGACACCCTAGGCCTTTCAGTTATTAAGAAGAAGTCGTTTAAAGTAAAATATTGACGACGGACGACAGACGACGGACGCCGCGCCACGGCATAAGCTCACTTGGCACTTCGTGCCAGGTGAGCTAAAAACTGATAGGTCCCCTATAGTTTTATCACAGAAAAAATACCCCTCATCTATAATAGGTAATTTGGTTTGGGTTTTTGAGTTAAATGTCATATTATACAGCTAATGATGTCCCTCCATAAGGACAGTGGGTGTAAAATGTGTTTGGGAGGGGTATGTTGGTGAATCTGTCACCTAGAAACATCTCATCAATAGATTTGTACCAGGTTTTATCACAGGTAGAAAATATTTTATCTATAATCTAGGTCTGTATATGATTAAAACAAGTAAAATATACTTATGTAAATAAACTAGACTCCTTTAGGATTACAGTGTTTTTTCTTAACTTAATTCCACAACAGCCTGTTCCTACATAAATTAGAAAATTACAGCATAACTTGTATTGAAAGCGGGGAGATATTCCTCATTTTTTGAAAAAATTGAGCACGTTTTTAAAAAAGCAAGGGGAAACAGCCAGTATTGGAAGCCTCGGGTCTTTTGTCCAATACTTTATCCCGAGGGTTTGAATAACCCAAAAACCCATAAAAACAGCTTCTTTTCTAGTAAAGTTGTAAACTGTCCGCATATTTCTCATTTGTATATGGAGCCCGGATGGCAATTGCTTGTGACGTCAATGACCCTGACTGACCCCTAAACGTCATAAAATGAAGTAACGAAAAATAGCGTCACCCCGAAAGGTCACTTTAATTCCCCCGACAGTCTGCACATGTAATCGATCTAGACCCGTGGGTCGGATAGAATTTTCCAGCACCGCCGTAAATGCGGATATCTCGATCTAGTATTATATGCATGAAAGGGTTATCACAATCAGGTAAAAAAACTCATCTACTCTCCATCCTACATGTATATCTCCCCCACCTCCCAGCCCCCTTTTATCCTCCAGTCTCTATATTTCTTCCTCTACTCACAGCTGCCAATAGTGCCTCCCTCTCCTCATCCACATCCGTATTCCAGGCGGTCATATCATTGTCGGTCTTCTGGCTGATTGTCACAAGGGTCAAAGTACCGTTCATGATGTCACGGCCGGGAAAAAGGGTTTTAAAATCTGGAAACATCAGCACAATAAACATTAATGAGAAAGAGAATGTAAATAAGCCTACTAAATTATTATAAAACAACCTAGTGTGACAGCCCCACATCACCTCACTATATAACATAATGTACACCAGGAAATTGTTGGCTGTAGTTTAACTTTTGCCCTTTTTGTCTTCCTTAAAAAGAGGGAATTTAACATGACAGCAACTGCTATAAGCACACAGCATATATACAATGTACCATATATTCATTTTTGTAGTAAATAATAATAATAATATTTTGAGGTTCTTATATACCGCTTTATCACAACCTAGTTCCTAGGTCGTCTCAAAGCAGTTCAAAAATTATTATCCGTGGTTATTGGGCCTTTGCAACCAGCCAATACCTTTCTCAACTCCCTGGGGAGCATACAGCCGGTGCTGACATTTCGGCGCTCACAGCTAGCATTCTACATTTCTAGCACTACCCAACCACGTACTCATTTACAGCCGAGTAGACTCAACCAAGCAGAGTAAAGTTATCTTGCTCAAAGATACAACACAGTGCCGTGACGTGAGTCAAACTCGCAACCCTTCGGTCAGGAGCCCGGCGTCCTACCACTAGACTACCGTGCCTCCGTAAACTCAAAGTAAAGGTACTGAACAACATCGACAATATTAATTACGATGTTGACATGTTTCGACACACTAAATGTGTCGTCATAGAACTGATGACGGCACATTTAGGGCGTTGAAACATGTCAACATTGTAATAAACATTGTCAATCACCTTCAAGTAGATGTTGTCCAGTCATCCTTACTCTGAATTTTTGTTTTCTTTTTTCTGGACTTTTTCCATTATGAATCCATCCATCGAAGGCTGTCGTATCTTTGGAATGAACAGATTATAATTATGTATGATCCAATAAAAGAAGAATTAAACCAAAGTCAACCTGCACAATCCAATTGCTATGCCCAAATAATTTAAAATGTACAGAATTTCAAATATTCCTTGATACCCAATTTTGTTTTGTTTTTGAATTATGGTTAATTATCCCAATTTCAGTGCTACGAAAATCTGTTCAACTGTTCTTCAGAAACAAGTAATTGATAAACAACAACAAATACTTTGAATGCTGTCAAAGTTTAATCAGACAAAAAAAAAAGATTGAAAAGAAGATTTTAATGAAAGTATCACTGACCTAATTTCATGATTTGGGGACATTCCTGAGCAACGTATTCCAGTCTGTCAGAGGGATGAGGAATATGTGAATCTTCTGTCATGAAACCATCTTCTTCCTGAAACTTTATATCATAAAAGGAAAAGATTAATAATTGTACACTTGAAAACACACCTGGTATATCGAATAAATACACTTAAAATATAATAATGGAACATACCATTTTCATTCTCATAGATTTGGTTTGGTTTTGGTTTTGTTAAACTTCCTATTAACATCTAAGGTCATTTAAGGACATGCCTCCTTATGTATTGTGTAAGCATGCAAGTGTGTATATAAGCTGGAGACAGGGTATAACATGTGTCTCACTCTGTAATTAATTAAGAAATGGAAAATAGCATTCCTATCACTGTTAATACAATGGTGGAACAGATCATGTTTGTCAATATGAATGCATTGAGGGAATGTTCCATTTCTATCTTTAGGGATAACGGGATATAACATACAATGGTTATCACTATGGATACAGAGATATAACATACAAGGGTTATATCTCTGTATCCATAGTGATACCCATTGTATGTTATATCGCTGTATCCGTAGTGATAACCATTGTATGTTATCACTACGGATACAGATATAACATACAATGGTTATCACTACGGATACAGATATATAACATACAATGGTTATCACTACGGATACAGAGATATAACATACAATGGTTATCACTATGGATACAGAGATATAACATACAATAGTTATCACTATGGATACAGATATAACATACAATGGTTATCATTACGGATACAAAATTATAACATACAATGGTTATCACTATGGATACAGAGATATAACATAAAATGGTTATCACTATGGATACAGATATAACATACAATGGTTATCATTACGGATACAAAATTATAACATACAATGGTTATCACTATGGATACAAAATTATAACATACAATGGTTATCACTAAGGATACAGATATAACATACAATGGTTATCACTATGGATACAAAATTATAACATACAATGGTTATCACTATGGATACAGATATAACATACAATGGTTATCACTATGGATACAGGTATATAACATACAATGGTTATCACTACGGATACAAAATTATAACATACAATGGTTATCACTATGGATACAGATATAACATACATTGCTAATCACTACAGATACAGATATAACATACAATGGTTATCACTACGGATACAGAGATATAACATACAATGGTTATCACTATGGATACGGATATAACATACAATGTTTATCACTATGGATACGGATATAACATACAATGTTTATCACTATGGATACAGATATAACATACAATGCTAATCACTACAGATACAGATATAACATACAATGGTTATCATTACGGATACAAAATTATAACATACAATGGTTATCACAATGGATACAGAGATATAACATACAATGGTTATCACTATGGATACAGTAACAGAACATAGTGATAACCATTGTATGTTATATACCTGTATCCATAGTGATAACATACAATGGTTATCACTATGGATACAGGTATATAACATACAATGGTTATCACTACGGATACAGATATAACATACAATGGTTATCACAATGGATACAGGTATATAACATACAATGGTTATCACTATGGATACAGTAACAGAACATACCAAAGCTAGCTGATCCAACACCTCACAATGTCGATATTCAGGTTGGTTTTCCAGAAATGGTTTAACAAGGTTTGCCTTGGCTGAACTCTTGGTAACAACACGATAAGGTTTATTTTCAAATTTTGGTCCAATGGATCCTGGGAGTGGTAATCTCTTATTCAGAGGTCCAAATGGTCCTAGGTCTAGAGAAAGGCAGACAGAAATATATATATAAATGCAAAACACACCAAACATTTTCTTAGATGTACAAGAATGATCTACATCTACACAAATAAATTACGAAAGTCATAAAATATTATCAAATAAACAAAAAAATAAATCACGATACTCAGGTCAAAATAACTTTTGTCTTATAGTAAAATGTACATGTATACACTATATTTTTGGTACTATGTCTGAACCAGCTACACATTATGTTGACAGTCTAGTTGTTGCTATACAATGTCATTGTTTAAACCAAAACCTCTGGCTGGTTTATACAAACATTTGGACTGAACAGGATCCTATAGGTCATGATCAGATTAACCTGTCTACCTGACAACATTTGTGACACAACAAATTTGTCCGACAAAACAGAATGTAGAAATAGGCACACATCTTATTTTGCATTTCTTTTTATAAATGGGATTTCAGCATTATGTTGGATACGACAGGGTTCTGGATTATTCAGGGATCTGATTAGGCAGGTTACAACCATTTATGATTAGTTGATCACTCCTGTGTATCTGACATGAGCACTTCAGCTTGTTAGGTTAGGTTGGAAATATATATATATTGTCCTTATATTTGTGGCTCCATTAATTGCAACCATAAAAATAAATACATGCACAGAGAAATTGTCATTTTACTAAGCATAATAATTAACTCATTCACCCCTGAAGACACATTTGAACTCTTCCAATTAAAAAAGTTAGAATAGTTCATTATTTTTGGTTTGTTTGTGTTTTACGTCCTATATTATAATTAACAGCTATTGTCATTTAAGGATGTGCCAGGTTTTGGTGGTGAAGGAAAGCCGCAGTCCCCGGAGAAAAACCACCAACCAACGGCCAGTACCCGACGACTGCCTGAACGTAGGCCCCCAAAAATAGTTTGGAATAGTTCATTATGAAATTTCAGGGGTGAATGAGTTAAGTAGAACATCACTGATTTACAGTACCTTGAGCAAATTCATCAGGAAAAAATTCATCTTCGTCTCGTTTGTTGTTGCCACTGCTGATGGAGAAGGATCGTACATACTTTACAGCACTGTTCAGATTAGGCAAATAGGTTACCACTCTCTTTCTTGCCAACAACTGGAACAAATAAACAAACTTTCATTTTGAAATGATTTCCTATTAACTCATTCACCCCTGAAGACACATTTGAACTCTTCCAATTCAAAGGTTGGAATAGTCAATTATGAATTTTCAGGGGTGAATGAGTTAATCATGAGAAATGAATTTTGATATATTTTATATGTTTAACCCGTTCACCACTGTAGACCATGTGAATGGACTCAACCAGATCAATGCATGGTCAAGTCTACTAAAGCTATGTAGGGGTGAAAGGGTTAACATTAATCATTGATACATGTTAAGACATATAACTGTGTCGGTAGAGAACAATGTAAACATAAACAAAGAAATTAGTAATGGGCAATCAGTTTATAATCATGATTATGCAATCAGTTTATAATCATGATTATGCAATAAGTTTGTAATTGGAAGTAGTAATTAAACTGATCGCATAATCAGTTTTAAAATAACCAATTTCAGCGATAACAATATTTTTACATCAACAGATGTAATTTTTACTATACAATATTAGATTTCCTTCTTTTACAATATATAATATTTTATATTTTATAATGAATGAATTACAACCAACTTTTACACAGTTTTGATTCTTTTTTTAACATCACCATCAATCATAGAAAAAGAATTCAAAAAAATAATGAAATACTTCAAATGCATACTGTAAATATATACGACACTTGAGTTTAGTAATGAATCTATTGTATTGAATATCATGAAGTATGGAACTAGTAATTAATAATCAGAATCAGAAAGGGATTTTGGATCATCATGACTCATCTACCTATCACTACAAGACATCAAACATAAAGATACATATATACATATATACTAAAATATTTCTTTTTACCCTATTAAGTACATGCATCCAAACAACGAGAATTAAGCTAGCTAGAAATTAAACTTATAAATTACCAAACCAAGGATACTTGGAAAATGGTATACATGTAAGAGCTGATTATGAAAAACTTTTTTAGAGAAGTTTGAATCACTTGTACTTGTGAAGAAAGAAAGATGTTGTCCACATAATCCTGTATATATCTTAAATAACTAACTACATGTATACTAGAAACTTTCAACCTGTCAAATAATTGCCCTTCAGCAGTCTAGTACAATCCAAATGAGCCCATGCAAGTAAGGTGTACATGTTTTTCTGGGGCCTTTTTGGGTTCGATAATGGGTCCCTTTCCCCATTATAACTATTTCATATTTATGCCTAATTCCCAAAATTTGCAGTAAACTCCTATAAAATTTCCTTCTCAATTTGTGTATTTTATAACCAAAATGAGATAAAAAGGCCCCATCCAAAATTTAAGAAGGAAAAAACTTGTTTTGCCCTTCACATGTCATCATTTATATAGGATCTTAAATGAGTTTTCATTTCATATGAGATTTTATGAAACGAGTCTTAGGAGTTTTTATTTTTGCAAATCTAGGCATTTTGACAGGTTTTAAAGCCATAATGTAGAGGCCTAGGGCTTAAAGGGGCTGGTCGGGGGAAAAATGTCATATTTGCTATAAAATGGCATACACATGTTTAAAATACCTTCTTATGAAATATACCGATAAAATTTTTGCTGAAATTCACTCCCCAAGAGTAAAAATTATAATTATATTAAAGAAAGAAATCCTAAATCGTCACCTGACAGTCTAAAACTCTCAATTGATCAGTGATGTAATTTGACCGCAAGCACGTCATCAACAACACCAAATGTAAATATCGCAGCGAAAGAAAAAGATGCATGCAAAAGTCATGACAGACACGAGGTATCAATAACGTTATATATAACAACAGCATATAGGTAGGAATACTACACTTGCATCATACAAGACCTTTGAAAACAATTATTTACGTATAGTATTGCTGTCTTGTCTGCTAGTTGAATCTGACATGGCACATGACGGCATGCTATTGTTGTTATCTTCACTGACTCACTTTCGAAACAACCACGTGACATATATAAATAGATATGCGCTAAATTTATGCGGGGCTTCCCAGAGATTTCAGTGGTCAAAACTGGACATTGCAAGCAGAACTTGACCATCATAGTGCCGTGGTATAACTTTTGAGAGCCCAGAGAACGCATTTAGACCCATTTATTTTGTATTTTTTTCCCCGACCAGCCCCTTTAATCAAATGGAGACAGCCATTTTGCTGCACAATTCACAATTTATGACGTCACATACGTCATTGTACATATTATGACGTCACAATCGATTTCTGACTGGCACGGCCAATGAAAATCGATCCAGGGTATATTACACTATAGTGACATATGTAAAAATATTACATGGGTGAATTCATTGGATAACAGGCCGATTATATGATAAAATTATTATACAGTGAATGCTGTGTATTAATTTCCACAGTCATTAGGAATTCATCCATGGATACAACCACTATGGAATGCAAAAGAAAGATGGAAGTTTACCTGCAGTATTTTCTGGTTTACGCTTTACGTTGTATGTACATACCTTAGTGGCCAACGCCATCTCAATATTTGTTCTTTCTATTAATTGTTATCTCTTGTTTTGCATTATCTGTAAAGAAAAAAACTCAGAATCAGTACATATTACAGATACAATTGTGTGTACAAATATTGCACTTTTTTTACCCGTTAATTTTAACTAATCATCTGCAGCCCAGTACAAGAAACAGGTAGATATGTTGACTGCACCAGGTTAAACAATATGTTATTTGGTGCCATGGGTTGTTAATAGTGTTGTGTTTATGAGTGAAGTCTTGGAAAAAAGGGAGAGAAGAATGTAGAGAAACTGGACTGTGTCAATTTTGCCAACGATCAGGTACATTGTAGCTCATCATTATATCTATCAATTGGTAGTGCGTCCATCTCGAGTTCAAAGGGTTCTGGGTACAAATCCTGTCTGGCCATGCATTTCTCTTCTCCTGTTAACGGTGCTGTGGGTTGTAAATAGTGTTAATTGTCTTTGCGTGTGATTAGGTGAAGACAGAAAAAAGGAGGAAGGAATGTATTGGAACTTGACTAGGTAAATCTAAGGTGCCTAGATGGTAGCTCAACTGGCCTTGCACTTCTCTCTCCTAATACTGCTTCAATAATGTTATCCTCTCGAAAACTAAGCTAATGAACATTCGTGAAAATTATGACAGGGCACAAATCCTGATACGACGACTTACAATTTACTTGTATTATATATAATATACGAGGTTATTTTTGCTATTTTTTGTATATGTAAAAAACACTTATGAAAAAATATGAAAATAAAAAAAAAAAAACTAACATGTACACTTTCTCAAAATATACAAGTTTAACTTAAGAGAATCATTCCGACCAGTTGCCTGGGTTTCAGCTGTTCATAAGTAAATAAATAAAAAAAAAATAGAAACCCAATTTCCACTATATCATGAGTTCTAGTATTTGTATATTTGCCTATAAAACCCAGGCAGCTGTACATGTGCTGGCACAAAATCGGGCAAATAGGCAACATTATAGTGAACATGATGAATAGACGAGAACGTCGACCTACAAATGAACACAAATGCGAACATGTACCTTAGAAACAGAAACGGTTAAATAACATCACTTTTTTCCAATAGGTCTACTTATGATTCGTATCCTTGTACATTTGGTTATCCATTCTTTTGGTGTATGATCATTTTAAAATACAAACAACGACCACAACTGTGTATATTACCTTCAGCAAATTTCCATTTTCCCTTCAAACCGGAAGTTTGGTTTGTTCGGGGAATTACTAATAATAGGATTTTACTGAACCGGCTGAACTGAGCCTCGTTTCTCACAATAGGGCGAGCTGGCAAGTAAATACAATTGTCCCATGGTAGGTTTTGAATTGCTAATTCACAGAAGCCAGCACTGAGCAGTAATCACCTCTTAGCAATTCAAAGCCTATCATGGGACAATTGTATTTACGTGCCAGCTCTCCCTATTGAGAATGTTACCCTTTAACTTAATTACTTCCAATCAGTTCTTTTGTTTGTTTTTACATTTATATAAATGTATGTACAGTATATGTACATGACACACACAAAAAACATATATATATATAGACACATATATCCATTCATTATCAAACAAATACCAATAATATCGGAAAGGAAAGGTAGGATTATTCAAAACTTTGTACTTTAATTTGAATTTGACAGGTGGGAGCTGTCAATGTGTGCATTTGACCTTTTGTTACGCATAATAAAACTTGTAGCAAAACTTGTATCATATAAATTTAGTATAAACACCAAAAGGATGATTCCAATGGGGTTCCTTAGATCTAAATAAATCAATTCAATTTATAAAATAGTTACATAATTGTATAGCATATATTGATAATTTGATAAGACTCTAAGACACAGTCTTTTATAAAATAAAAATAGATATAAATTGTTACAAAAAAAAATATGTCTCGTATCTGATACCATTGCATTTTGGAGAGCAGGTGATCGGGCATCCCCTACCTAACGAGATCTCCTTCATGTCATACATCAGATATATAAAGAGGCTTATAAAATTACATGTGCCATAGGCTATAATCAGTAAAATAATGCTGGTAATTGAATCATGTAAAATATGAAGTGATTAACCACATATTGGAATTTTAACAATTAAAGACATATAGTATTAACTTGTGACTTGCCAAAGGGCTGGTGGTTGGGCAAAAGTCCCATGTTTCAGACAGGTTTCTCGAAAACCGTAGGGTGGAATTCAACGAAACTTTACATGAGTGTTCGTGTATGACAGGCGTTGGGCAAGAGTATTTTCGTTTTTCGATCGATCATCCGACTGGTCAGCCGGACGGCGGCCTCTGATTGGTCGAAATTCAGACATTGTCCGATTTTGATGAAATTTGTTATATATGTGTAGTATGGTACTAACAAAACAACTGCGGTGTTTGATTTGTGATTAAACAAAATGTCTGCCATTTCATGACCTCTGATTGGTCGAAATTTAAATATTGTCGGATTTCGATCAAATTTGGTATGTAGGTGAATCATGGGACAATGATCACCTCCGTAAGTTAGGTTTCACATTTCAACAAAATGGCCCCCATTTCCGTCCTCAGATTGGTCGAAATTTAAATATTGTCCAATTTTGATCAAATTTAGTATGTAGGTGTATCCATAGACCTAAATTAACGGGACCGCCGACTCCATGACGTCACGCTCTATAATCAACCAAGGAGCTTCCCGATGTTCGCAGCGCCCCCACCGGGTGGTATAGAAAGCAACTTCCGGTTTGCTCCAGGGGTAAAACAATGGGTGGCAAACACTGTTGTGTGGTCGGTTGTACCAACTCCAGTAAGAAAACAGGACAGTGTATTAATTACTTTGGCTTTCCCAAAGATGCAGAATGGCGGTCAACATTGATAGCAGCCGTAAATCGGTGTGATTCGGGGTTTAGCCCTGACAGCAT